CCAGGACAGTCCCTCCATCTTGGTTCCGCCAAAGCAAATGTTGGCCATGGAGAATCAGCATCTGGTGTAACTGCGCTTGTGAAGGTTCTTCTAATGATGAAGAAGAATACCATACCCCCTCATTGTGGTATAAAGACCAAGATCAACCATAACTTTCCCACGGATCTCGCGCAGCGCAATGTTCACATTGCCTTCCAACCTACACCTTGGAACAAACCAGCTTCTGGAAAGCGGCAGTGCTTCATTAACAACTTTTCTGCGGCTGGTGGAAATACCGCTCTTTTGTTGGAGGACGCTCCAATTCCTGCAGTTAAGGGACAAGATCCTCGATCTGTTCACGCTGTGGCTGTATCAGCACGATCTCAGAGTGCGCTCAAAAACAATATCAACTCCCTTGTAAAATACATTGATGAACAAGGAAGGTCATTCAATGTGAACGAGGCTGAGTTTATCCCGAGCTTGGCATACACCACCACAGCACGGCGTGTTCACCACCCATTCCGTATCACAGCTATCGGATCTAGCCTGCAGGAGCTGCGTGACTCGCTTAACAACAGCTCTCGTCTGGAAAGCTTTACCCCTATCCCTGCAACGGCCCCTGGCGTAGGGTTCGCGTTCACTGGCCAAGGAGCTCAGCACACTGGAATGGGAAGGCAACTGTACGAAAAATGTTCTCAATTCAGGGCGACAATGCAGCATTTCGATTGCATTAGTCAAAGGCAAGGGTTTCCTTCGATTCTTCCTTTGGTTGACGGAAGCGTGCCCGTGGAGGAGCTGGGCCCTGTCGTGACACAGCTCGGCACCACATGTCTTCAGATGGCTTTAGTCAACTACTGGGATTCACTAGGTATAAAGCCTGCTTTTGTTCTTGGGCATAGTCTTGGGGAGTTTGCTGCCCTGAATACCGCAGGAGTATTATCGACTTCCGATACTATCTACCTTTGTGGTCGTCGGGCTACGCTACTTACACAGCACTGCCAGGTTGGAACACACGCCATGCTGGCTGTCAAGGCTTCCTACCCACAGGTCAAGCAGTTGCTGAAAGAAGGTGTGGATGAAGTTGCTTGTGTCAACTCACCCAGTGAAACTGTCGTCAGTGGCCTCACCACCGATATTGATGACTTGGCTCAAAGGTGTTCCACCGAAGGCTGGAAGTCTACTAAGCTGAGGGTACCGTTCGCTTTCCATTCTGCCCAAGTTACTCCAATCCTTGAACGGTTCCAAGAAGAAGCCCAGGGTGTCACGTTCCGTAAGCCATCGTTACCGTTTGTTTCCTCACTCCTCGGGGAAGTTATCACCGAGTCTAACTACGATGTTCTGGGGGCTCAATATATGGTGAAGCAGTGCCGGAGGTCGGTGAACTTCCTTGGCGCTCTCGAGGCCACTAGATATGCGAAGTTGATGAATGATAAGACTGTCTGGCTTGAAGTTGGTGCCCATACCATTTGCTCTGGTATGATCAAAGCAACATTCGGTCCTCAGGTCACCACCGTTGCATCTCTTCGCCGAGAGGAGAATGCATGGAAGGTCCTCTCCAATAGTCTGTCGGCCCTTCATTTGGCTGGCATTGATATCAATTGGAAAGAATATCATCAAGACTTTAGCTCCAGCCACCAGGTGCTCCCACTTCCATCCTACAAGTGGGATCTCAAGAACTACTGGATACCCTACACTAACAACTTCTGCCTTACGAAGGGTGCTCCACAAGGTGCGATCCAGGCTGCACCACAAGCTACATTCCTGACCACTGCTGCACAAAAAGTTGTTGAAAGTCGCGACGACGGTACAACAGCGACTGTCGTGGTGCAAAATGACATCGCTGATCCCGAGTTGAACCGTGTTATCCAAGGTCACAAAGTCAATGGAGCCGCACTTTGTCCATCGGTAAGTATTACATGTATCCCCAGGCTATCATGTGCCATAATTCGGGCTACTAACTCATATTCTATAGTCACTTTACGCAGATATTGCCCAGACACTTGGAGAATACCTTGTCCAAAAATACAAACCTGAGTTCAAAGATCTTGGCCTCGATGTATGTGACATGGTCGTGCCGAAGCCACTCATCGCGAAGGGAGGAGAGCAGCTCTTTAGAATCTCTGCTACTGCTAATTGGACAGAGAAGAAGGCTTCGGTTCAGGTATACGCTGTCAATGCCGAGGGCAAAAAGACCGTGGACCATGCGCATTGTACAGTGAAGTTCTTTGACACCAATGCCTCCGAGCTTGAGTGGAAGAGAATCTCGTATCTAGTCAAGAGAAGCATCGACAGTCTCCACCAGAATGCAGAAACAGGGGAGGCTCACCGTATCCAGCGAGGAATGGTGTATAAACTTTTCAGCGCATTGGTCGATTATGATGACAACTTCAAGTCGATTCGTGAGGTTATCCTGGACAGCGATAACAATGAGGCCACTGCTCGTGTCAAATTCCAAGCACCGCCAGGCAATTTTCATCGAAACCCATTCTGGATTGACAGTTTCGGTCATCTGTCTGGATTCATCATGAACGCAAGCGACGCGACCGACTCTAAGAATCAAGTATTTGTTAATCATGGATGGGATTCAATGCGTTGCCTGAAGAAGTTCTCGCCTGATGTCACTTATCGTACTTATGTGAGGATGCAACCATGGCAAAACAACATTTGGGCTGGAGACGTCTACATCTTTGAGGGTGACGATATCATTGCTGTCTTTGGAGGTGTCAAGGTGGGTACCTCACTACTGCTCTTGGTTTCCGTTTTGCTGACATGATGATTAGTTCCAAGCACTGGCACGCAAGATACTTGACACTGTTCTTCCTCCTGTTGGAGGTACAAAGGCACCTATTACAGCCAAACCACCACCTCCAGCTCAGACTCAGAAGGCCAGCACAGGTGCTAAGGCCCGTCCTAAAGCACCCGTTCCATCTAAGTCCTTCACCAAATCTTCTGGACCGAGTGTTGCCGTACGCGCACTCAGCATTCTGGCCTCAGAAGTTGGCCTGGCAGAATCTGAAATTTCAGACGACCTGGTGTTTGCGGACTACGGTGTAGACTCCCTCCTCTCTCTAACAGTCACTGGCAGGTATCGTGAAGAGTTGAACCTCGATCTGGAGTCTTCTGTGTTTACCGATCACCCAACCGTCAACGACTTCAAGCGACTCATCGCCCAAGTGAGTCCTTCAGAGAGCCATGATGGATCCTCCAGTGAACAAGAGTCGAACTTCTCTTTCAGCGGTGCCGAATCTTCAAGTGCAAGCACTCCTGACATCACGTCACCGCCAAATGAGAAGGTAGCTCAGGTCGAGCAAGACGACACCATGAAGGAAATCCGTAACATCATCGCAGAGGAGATCGGTGTCCCTGCAGAAGAGATCGACCCTGATGAGAACTTGGGAGAGATGGGTATGGACTCGCTTCTCTCCCTGACTGTTCTTGGAAGAATCCGAGAGACTCTGGACATGGACCTGCCGGGAGAATTCTTCATCGAAAACCAGACCCTCAATGATATAGAGGTGGCTTTGGACCTAAAACCCAAGAATACTGCTGCGCCAATTCCTATGCCAGAGCCAGTCAAATTCCCCGAAGTTATTCAAGACCTCCAACCCAAGGTTACTCAACACCCCAAGGCCACATCAATCCTGTTACAAGGAAACCCTAGGACAGCAACAAAGTCGTTGTTCTTGTTTCCTGACGGCTCCGGCTCAGCGACATCTTACGCTACCATTCCCGGAGTTTCTCCTGACGTCTGCGTCTACGGATTGAATTGCCCATACATGAAGACACCCGAGAAGCTCAAATGCAGCCTAGACGAACTCACTGCTCCTTACGTGGCAGAGATTCGTCGTCGGCAACCTAAGGGCCCTTACAGCTTCGGCGGCTGGTCAGCAGGAGGAATCTGTGCATACGATGCAGCACGCCATCTAATGTTTGAGGAAGGTGAACAAGTCGACCGCTTGCTTCTTCTTGACACTCCATTCCCCATCGGCCTTGAGAAGCTACCGCAGAGATTGTACGGCTTCTTCAACTCTATCGGCCTTTTCGGCGAAGGTAAAACGGCACCACCATCCTGGCTCCTACCTCACTTCCTAGCCTTTATCGACGCCCTCGACGCATACAAGGCCGCGCCTCTTCCATTCACAGACGGGAAATGGGCCAAGAAGCTGCCTAAGACTTATATAATCTGGGCCAAAGACGGTGTTTGTGGTAAGCCGGGAGATCCCCGGCCTGATCCCCCGACAGACGGTTCCAAGGATCCCAAGGAGATGGTCTGGCTGCTTAATGACCGGACCGACCTTGGGCCTAACAAGTGGGATACATTGGTTGGACCTGAAAATATTGGTGGAATCACGGTAATGGAAAATGCTAATCATTTTACGATGACGAAGGGCGAAAAAGCGAAAGAGTTGTCTACTTTTATGGCTAACGCTATGGCTTAAAGATTGATGAAGCTTGTTATGTTCTTTTCTACTATTATATTGCACTTATTTTCTCTCTCGTTCATATGGTTTGTTATGGGGTTGATCTCAGTTTTTTCGATAGCCAGGGATTACCGCACTATCATTCAGTAAGTAATGCCTTGCAATAATTGTACGTAATTAATCAATTATACTATTGGAACAACGAGATATTATCACGTAGCACAATCAATACTAAAACAGCCTACATATTGACTAATCACTGTTGTTGGCTGTGGAAAAGGAAGCCCTAGGGTAGTAGAACAGCAGAAAAATTTGCAAACAAATTGAGGCAATGTAGTCATAAGAATGCCCTACATTAATAATGGCATCCAATTCAAAATTCAACATGGACAACTTGAGAAGGGGCGCAAGGTCCACACACAAAAAAAAAAAAAAAAAAAAGGAGAAATGGTGCAGGCATACAAAACGCCCAGACAATGCAAAGTCAGTGATGAAAGAAAAGCATCAAATGCACGCCCTTCTCTATGCAACCGTCATAGAACGCAAGGATGAAATCAGTGGAGTCGCTGTAACATGATAGAAATTCCACTTAAGTTGGTAGGGTTATACAAAACAGGTACGACCTTAACTGGGCATCTCGGAGCTGAACCTTAACGCGCTGCCACGTCCGTTATGATTATTGATTCCTGGGCTCGTTGGACGGCTTCCAGCGGTCAGTCTCGGGCTGCGAGGTTGAGTGCTCGTCGAGCGGGTGGACGGCCGATTCTTGCGGATTTCCCGCAGCTCATCCTCTTTTCGGCGTAACAGATCTTCGCGGGATGCAAGAATAGCTTCCAATTCGGAGATACGAGATAGATGTCGTGCGCCGTCGTTCTCTATATTGATCTCTCGTAGGCGACTAGCATTGCCAGCAACCTTACGCTTTAATAACTCGTTCTCTTCTCGAAGTTGGCGGATCTCGTTCCCAGTCTGAGCCGCAATGTTAGAAGCAGTTTGGTACTGCTCGCGAGTATACTCGGCTTGCCTGGCCTCGTATTCTGCCTTCCGTTCAAGGCCAGAATTCTCCTGTGTCAGGCGCCGGATATCTTCCCGAGCCGTCTCCAGCTCTGCTACAGCACCTCCCCCAGTTTTGATCTCCCCCCTTGCCTTTTCAAGATCTTGCCTTAGCTGGGTGCGCTCAGCCTTTAGCTTGCTAATATCTTCTCTTTGCTTTTCAATTTTCTGCTCTGATGTGGCCTTATATTCGGCTAAGCGATCCCGCTCCCGACGAATCTTGTGGAGGTCTCTAGTTCGAGTTTCATAGCGATGCTGGAGCGACTCGAGTAGTTTCTCTCTCTCTTGTAAGCGGGATTGCATGTCGGTTAACGCATTCTGAAACTGCCCAAGCTCAGCCGCATGTGCAGTTCTCATCTGCACGAGATTCTTCTCCAATGCATGCAGACCGCTATCCAGGGTTTGACTTGGAAATTTCGTTGATTCGGTAAGTTGGGTGTTATCCTGTGACATTTCCAACCTTAGTCTTTTAGAAGCATGCTCGCTTGAGTCTTCCACAAATAGACGCTTTTGAGCTTGTGAGTTGGGGTTTGATGTACTGGCAACAGTCGTTTGAGGTTGAGCTTCAAGTTGAACAGATAACAGCTTCTCGGAGCTCACGACGTGTAAAGGTTCAATGGGGGTCAAAGGCCAGCTAATACTGAAGTGATCCGAAGAGAGCCAAGACAATATCTCTTCCACATCTTCACGCACACCAAGGGCATCGTCTTGCAGATCACCTACTATATTACGGAGACGGACAGTGTATTGGACGATCAACTGGAGACGTTGGAGCTCTGGAGGATCCGGAAAACAGAGTTCAATGTGCTCACTGGAGTTTGAGACAATGAGTCGAATGATAGGAAGTAGGTTACCATGACGAGCAAATGTGGTTCGCATATGCTCGACCGAAGGACTCTCCGCATTTAAAGACGAGTCCAGTGCAATGATTGCAGAGGGTGATTTGTATGTCTCAGTGATCCCTTCACTGTGTGTAGATTGGACCCCAAAACTCAAGGAGCCTCTTAGCAGAGAAACCTCTAAATTGGTGCCAGACCCCATTTCCTCACGAGGTCGAGTGTATATGAGACCTTTACCAATCAGGTATTGCTCAACCACTTTTTGGGTTTTCTCTCCCTGTACCATAATCACCAAATGAATATCCCGGTTGCTTGCCATTTCCACAAGGTAGCCTAGGAATAAGAATTTTGCGCTGGAATATTCGGCCCAAGCTGCCTCCTTCCTTAGGTCCGAATCCGAATCTTTGATGTGCTCTGCGATATTAAGATCTGGATGTGTCGCAACGTTGCTTAGACGTCCTAATATCTCGCGCAATCTTGACACAATGCGTTCTTCATGCCCGCTGGACATCCCTTCAGCGCTGGGGCCTTTAAGAAAATCCCGAATACACTGGGTTTCATCTACTAAGACTCGTTCGTAGTCATCTTTGACTCTGGAGTCCATTGGAAGTGGCACGGCGAATTCAGAGGGACCGAGATGTACTGATCCGGGAGGGACTTCTTCGGTATGAGCGACTGTCAAGGCACTTGGTTGAATAGTTTGTGTGCTTTGTTCTTGGTGTGGCATCTCTCCAAGTGGCTCCGATGAAGTGGTATTCATCTCTGACTCAGTGTGATGAGCAGTGGGTTCCTTGTCGACTCTAACACTTAGAGGTGCGATTGTCTCGGGAACGGATACAGGCGCCACGGGTTCGATATCTTCCACAGATGACGGAGTCACACTGACATCAATAGCCTGGAGAGAATTCGTTTTGGCGCTCAATTGGGCGTACGCATTCTTCATCTTCTCCCTCGGAGTTGCTCCTTCATACTGACTATACTTCTCCATGGTTTCAGCCAATGATGGCACTTCCTTCTTTTGGTTATGACTCTCCATGCTTCCAGTAGACATCCTGGGTACTTTATTGCTTTGCCGTGCAGATAACAGTCTCTGACTCAGGAGTTGAATGGAAGGGTTTATTGATCCCTGGGATGTACTCGGGTTTGATTCTGGCACTGTAGACCTCAATCTATCAGCTATAATGTGGCCTTTCGAGAGGCAATTCCCAGATAGTAGTAGCTGGGATATCAAAGAACTAAACCCGGACAGACAGCTTTCTGACGAGGGGATGTGCTGTGAACTAGGTCTCGACAAAGGAAGCTGGAAGGATTTCTGACCTTCTAAAGGGGCCAAGGTAATAGATGGAGTCTCTGTAATTCCGTCCACTTCCCCACGCAGGCCACAGACTGGTGTGCCGGATGGCTCTTCAAGGATGGGCGATGCGATTGACTTGGACTGTGAAGATCCTTGGGCAGCCTCGGGCGTCAATAGATTGCCAGATCTTAGTACCCCACCTTCACTAGCAATAATCGGAGTTCCTCTGGGGCTATGTGTAGTTTGTGTTGCGAGGTAACCTTGGACTTCACTAGGAAGTAAATACTCCAACGGGATAGCAGTACTCGGACTGTACTCAAACACACACTCAGTCTCAGGCAGTGCAGCTGCTGAGGCAATCGGTACAGTTAAGTAGTCACTATGCCGGTGTGAACGGGCTGGAATAGGCGTTACTTGCTTTGACTCTGGAACTTCAGACCATCGGTTGGCCTCCAGAGATGGGCGTGACTCAGATACAGAATCAAAATGTACAAATAATGGTGAGCGCTCACGTTGTTCCAAACGTTGTTCAGACGAGTCGATGAACTCTACACTGTGGCCTTGAGAGAATTGAATAGCTGACTGTGTTTCTGATATTTCAGTAAGATGACTATCGGCCTGGGACTGGCGGTGTCTCCTTTTCTCTTCCCAGACCTGAATTGCAGCGTCGTTGGCGTGCTCCTTTGGCTCCTGATTGTTGTATGTCTGTTAGATGACGCCCCCTCCCAGGAAGCCTCTGATAACTATATGGGGTGGCGTATGTAGACTGTGCTCAACTTACCCAACTAGGCGACCAAGGCCCCTCCCAATCAATAAGATACTGAGATTCTGTTTCGTCAAGGATACAGTTGATATACCATTCGTCTTCGGCTAAGTCAGAACTTTCGCTGTCGTTTTCTTCGTCACTTGATATGACGGGGTATGTATTTTTGCGTCTCTTTTTCTTATGTTTATCTGATGAACGTGTTGCAGAAGAAGAGATCTTGCGCTTGCGCCACATTATGCGCGTCCTGGGAGCATCGCCGAAGTGAAGTAATCCATGGTGGGAGGTTGATGTAACAAGCGTGTAGTAAAGAGAGATATAAGTGAGGACTATTTGGGAAAGTGAGCGCTTGTGGAAGTGAAACGTAACTGACACAAAGCGCAACAATGAAGAAACCAGAGAAGTGAATGGGAGTATGAAATTCGGTCTGAACTCGGACGACGGGGGATAGCTGCACGGATGATCGCCGACACGTGATATCTTATCAGTGCCCAACTCCACTATGACGGATGCTCACTCATTCCTCGGTACGGAATACTTAACCTACGTATACTGTACATATCACCCCAAAAGCGTTCGGTATGGCTCTTGAATTCATCATCTATTTCTTGGGATGCTTTGGAGGTAGACTGAAACACCCCTGGTATTGGATCTCTGTCTACTGATGCAATTCTAGTATCTAATGTATCTAATAATATCTATACTACTTCAGAGATGTGCCTGCTCCTTTCTAAAATTCTCAAAATCGTAGCCTAACTGCTCGATGTTTTTGAACTTGTACCGCTCATCTCCCTTTCCAACAAACGTTCTTCTAATCTCAGGAAACAGCTGTCGCATCCATCTCTCCCTCTCCCCCCAGTAATTGCCTTGTTTACCATTTCCGTTGTCGGCCAACCCTTGGCGTGGTTCAGCCCTGCCTGCCCATTCGTACAGTAGATTCATGTAGTCCGCGTCCAATGGAAAATGTAAAAGGTGGAATGCTGTCCCATTCCCCTTTTTGATGACAGTGGCATCCTCCCAGGCCTTCATTTCGGCTGCATCTGGCAGAGTAAGCCGTCCAGACCAGACACGAGAAAAAACAGCAGCCTGGTTCTCGGACAAGGGAAAAGGGATTACCCTCTGGGGGAGAACAGGGAAAACGAGCGTGGGGTTGTGGATGTAGAACAAATGTTGGTAGGTGTTCAGCACCCTCCGGCCATCCGTAATAATAGGAGGGTCCAGTGACGACAGGAAGGGGAAAGAGTATAGGTAGCCAGTGCAAAACACGATTGCATCAATGTCATTCTCAATTCTACCATTAGCGAAGCGAACCGCCCTGTTGTATTCGGTTGGTGGCATGAATTCCACAATTTCTGGGACGTAATCCTTGTCTGTGGCGTTGGACGGCATCAGGTAAGATTCTGTTCGCTGTGACGCGAGCACTTTGCCCTTGCTCAATCTGTTTATTTGGTTGCCAATATCGACTCCTGATGCAGAGCCTCCCACAATGATCACCTTCTTCCCTCGGAACGGTTCGGGCGAGTCATACAACTTGGCGTGGGAAATAATGCCCGGATAAGTCTCATTCCAGATTTTGATACCCGGTATATCAGGAGTGTACGGAACATCATAATGCCCACTAGCCACAACCACTGCATCATAAATCTCGGTCCTGTCGATCCCAGTTCGCAAATTCTTTGTTGTTACAGCCCAAGCATCTGCCTCGGAATCATCAGACTTGATATTCACAACTTGGGTGTCAAGGTGAATATAATCTTGCACAGCTTCTGCGTACTCGTCCAGATACTTCTTCACTGTAGAGTACTTCGGCAACACTTGGGCATCTGGGGGAAATGGCTTGTCCCCATAGGCCATTAATTCCTTTGGAATGTTGGTATCCAATGTACTATAAATGGGAGATATAAAAGCTGGCTCTAGCGGCCCATGGGTTTCTCCTGTGGGATGCCATATCGGTTCATCGCCAGGTTTGTTCGGGTCAAGTTGCGGCACAGGCACCAATGTGCTCTGTTTGAGAGCTGGTGGAGTATAATTCCATACCCCGCCGATAGCACTTCTCTTCTCAAAAACATCAATCTTGGTGAAAAATTCCTCTGCAAGAAGATACCTGATGATTCGTAAGTAAGATAATCTCAGGATGAGCGTGGCACTCAAGATTTGCTTCATACTTCACAGCAGAGAGGCCCGATGGCCCTGCACCGATAACAGCTACCCGACGGATTTGTTTCGAGATTGTCATGCTGGGCGTCAATTAACAGCAATTAAATTTGGTGTCAGGCTTCCAGTTCCTCGAAGTATCTCAGTTGGTGACCAGATGATCGGTTACTGTTATGGAATAAATCAAATCACCCCACCGGGCAATGTCGTGATCTACTATAGACTAGTACTAATTACTATTTTAGGGTACTGTGCAGCATGGGGGCTCGGATAACATGTAAACTCTGAAATAAACCAGGGTCTGGAATAGAGTGAAATAAGTTTTCTTCTCAATCAATCATAAACTTTTTATGGAACAAAAAATCAAACTTATTGTGTAATCATGTTCATGTGGTCACAGAAATACACAGATTCCCTTATTATGGCTACCGAGGCCATGGACGCCCTACGTAATATTACAGCTCCGATACTGACCAACACTGTTCCGCAAGCTCCAGATTTAATCGTTTGTCAGGTGAAGTCACACCGTGCGTTGCTTCCTGCCGCCTTTTGAACACAAGCTATTGCTGAACAAAACAACAAAACAACCTCTATATCTTTACTGTGCACAAACATCTGTCAGCTCACATAGCATTACTTGCAGAACAATGCAGTAGCAATTAGTGATGCTATATCAAAGGTGTAATTTAATTAGCAGCTGCAGTGATGGATGCTAACGAGCAATTTCCGACCTCTGAACCCTTACGTGCGAATCGCATCCCTATCGCGCAGCTTTCTCCGACACTCGAGCACTTCTCCAAGAGCTCCATCCATGCATCCGTTACTCTTTTATGGCCTTATTCATCATCGACAAAATCCCTTAGCCTCTTATTAGCAGAGCCGGACTTTCGCCTGCGTCACTCAAATGGACAAGTAAAGGCAGTTTTCCACGGGCATATCGCAGAAAGTGTGGCTAAATCTCAGATCGGAATCGGAGATTATGTTTATTTAAGTCTGGATGGAGCAAGGCTGTCAGATAATGTGGCAGCACCTGGAACCCCAGGCAGAAGCGTGGCCTGGGATATACACTTCGATGACCGAGTGTTTCTCGAGGTACTACGACTGAGAAATCCCTAAGAAAATGTGGTGATCTCACTGACTAGGTTTATAGATTTGGCGCTCATCGAATCATTTGTCTACTGTGAAAGTCGACCCTCCTACTCCCTCACCGAACAACGATACTACAAATGCGCCACCGGCCACTCCCCTTGCCAAGGGTTACGATCGCTCTGATGGGAACTTTTCGATTGATAGGTTGGGTTCATGGCAGTCTCCGGCTTTTCTAGGGCGATCGCGCACATCCTTGGGGGGCCTGGCTGATTCAGTGTTGGACCCATTCGCCGAGGAGGATGGGTTTGTTCCCGGAAAAGGGAGAAAACGCCCTAGGTTCAGCATGCGAAGCAGCGAGTGGCGAGTAATTGACGAACCCGAAAGCCCAGGTGAAAGAGGCGAAGTCCCGGACTGGACTCATATTTTTGATGAAGATTGGGGAAGTGAATCAGAGCCTGGACCCGAGGACACTGCCGAAAAAGAGGAGAAGCCACTGGATGCAACTAAACTCGAAAAGCCTGAACTAGACTCGGAGGAGGTATTCCTTACTGTTCCAGCTTCGGAGGCTGATGTTACCATGGAAAACGTTTCGCTGGCATCTTCTAGGACAAGTTCGGAACGACGTATCTCTCAGACTGCAGATGGTGTAAGGCTTCCTCCACTTGGTGTCTTTGGAATAGCCGAGTTCTCGCGAAAGCGGGATGTTCTAAATTGCTCGGCCCATCTTCCGATAGAAACTCCTCGTCTACACCCTATTCCCTCTCCCGGACTCCCCATTCCTTCGCCGCTCGTTACTATGTCAAACAGTCCACAGGGCTATTTCACACCAGTCGCAGCCACGTCGCATTCTCACACCAGCCAGATACCCACAACATTATCTCAGGAAGTGACAGATTCAGATAATGAACTACCCGGTGCGCAGCCGGATACTTCGCAGACACCAGAATGTACAGAGGCAGCCATTACTTTAGGAACGGAAGATCGCGCAATTGGTGTATCCGAATTCAGATCGGAGCCAAATGCTACAAAGATTACCCCCAAAGCTACAAGCCAGCCACACACGATGGCCAATACTGGGTTAGAAGAGCTATCACCTGATGAAGACTCGAAAGGAGCCGCTGAACCTGCCCAAGTCGACCAATCTACCCCGCAAATATCTGATGAGGACATTAAGAGACCCCATGGACATGTGGGAGACATTAATCAATTGAAAAGTCCAAAGAGAGAAGGAAAAGAATTTGAGGGCGACGAAACGTGCATTGACGCTCAAGTGAAGGCTGAGTCCGAAAAAGACAAAGAAGAAACGCATCAGGGGGAAGAAGTGGCTAAGGAGGACAATCTGGAAGATGATTATCATAAACCAACACGTACCTGTACAAGTTTAACTCCTGGGGACACACTGGCAAGTGGTGCAGCCAAGGTCGATGAATATGGTACTGATGGAAGCGGAGAGGAGGATACAGAGACACTGGAGAGATCGAGGCACTATCATGACTGGGTTACCCAAAGTGAAACCGAAACCCCAGAAACGGAACGTGGGCATCGAACGGAAGCTGCTCATGAAGAAGAGGACGAATGGGATGAGGAAGGAAGTGAGAGTGAACCTGAAGAGGAGCTAGAGGAGGAGGAAGAATTGGAGGAAGAACAAGCTCAAGAGATTAAAGAAACAGATAGGGAAGGAGAAGCAAACAACGAGGAAATGGAAAGGGACGACTTGAAAGCTGAATGGGATGATGAAAATTTAGAAGAGGAGGAGGGGGAGGGGGAGGAGGAGGAGGAGGAGGAGGAAGAAGAAGAAGAAGAAGAAGAAGAAGAAGAGGAAGAAGAAGCCGAGGATATGTACGAAGATGAATACGATGATGGTGCTGATTCAGAGATCGTATCGGACCAAATGAGTGTTGATACGCCCATCCAGCAGCCTGCCACGAAGAAAGTGCACCCGGACGTCATCGTACTAGACAGTGACAGCGAAGATGAAGCCGCATCTGCTTCCCAGGCTTACCCCATAACCACGTCAAGAGATGAAGCCAGTACACAGGAGATCGAGTCATCCGAACCTGAATCATCTGCTTCCGAAGAGGATTCCCTAAGATCACGGTGTTCGGACAACTTAGAAAGCTCAGAGGATGAAGAGGGCTCAGATTGGTCTGATGGGAACTCAGAAGATGAGCAGCTGATAAATAAGAGTGAAGAAGAGATGGTGGAGGATGAATGTGGACGAGTGAATGGTGAACAACAAAGAGCTGGGCATGTTGTAGACGAGCTATCTGACAGTGGAAGGACGAGGGACAAGAAGGTCGATGAGGACTCGGTTGATATACATGAGGAATACAAAGTGGAAAACGAAGCAATAGAAGAACAACCCGAGGCCAAAAGGGGGCAGGTGTCAGTATCACAGCCCATGGATACTAGGGATGCGGGCCCCATTACTGATGAGCAACCAATGCCTCAGCATACGACAAAGGCCCCGTCTCATGATTCTGAGCAGGAAAATCTTGATTATTACTCATGTATCCTGTCATCCGCTCAAGAATCTCATTCCGACTCTAGAACTACTTTACACGAATTGGAGACAGTGATCGACCCGGAGTTGCAAAACATTGACCTTGCTAAAGAACAAGCAAACAAAGAGGTGGAAAAAGAACCTCATCCAGATTCTATTTATGCTGAGCCTAAGACTGGGCTTCTCACGAAGATACCTGAGGCCGTCCAGAATATTGATCAAGGTTTGTTCCTTGACGTTACTTCATCTTCACACGCATCGCACGATTCCCGTGAGGCTGTTTCAGAAAGTCCTTCGCAATTGCAGCATTTGTTACCAATGGATACTCAACTGGCAGAAGTTGGCCAACACTCTATGGATTTCACTCCTACATCTGAAGACGTCCATGGAAGAACGACCGTGCAATTCGAAGGCCAAATGCCACCCGCCATTCAAATTGAGACAACTACACCAGCGGAACATGTCACTATTGCTAAAGACGTTGAGCATGAAGCACGTCTCGTCCCTACCCCGCACGAGGGACATCATGAACCCGAAGAATTTTCTGCGGATGGAGACGTGGGAACTCCAGCGTCTTACAGTGAAGACCAAACCCAAGAAGATGAGCTTTATTCGGATGATGAATCTGTTGGAGATTTAGATGAAGTCCATCTCATTGGAGTAGACCGCCATTATCCTGGCCTGCACAGCAAACTTTCCTATTTTGCTCCGTTGGCCACACTTGTCGATCACTATAATGCATTGGTAGATACCATATCCGTTGTGTCGGAAGTCCAACCGCTCTTCCGGACAGCATCAGGAAGGAAGGACTTTACACTAACTCTTCAACTCACTGATCAATCTATGGCTGGAACGACGCTCTACGCCCAAATTTCCCGGCCTTCCAAAGTAGAACTTCCCTCGGTGGAAGAGGGGAACGCTGTCTTGTTACGCAACTTTAAAGTCAAGAGTTCCAACCGCTCGATAATGCTCGCCAGCGTTGATAGCAGTGCCTGGGTTGTTTTCAAGGGCTTCGATGAGAAAGCACTGACTCATGATCCTCCAGTTGAATACGGGAGCGAAGAGCAAGCCTGTGCCACTGACCTGCGCCAATGGTACCAAGAAACTGGTATGGCCATGGTGGCAGATAACCAACTACAAGCCTCTATAAACAGGGAAAGTAGAGAAGGGACACCCGCTAGCAGCGCTGCGCTTAGCGATTCAGGGAGCATCGACTCGACACTGCGCGACGCGCGCGGTGAGTCGTCTTTCTCGAGTCGGGGTTCACGGCGGGGCAAAAGGCCCCATCGGAGAATAACAATTCACGAGTTGAGGGATGGAAGGAGATACACTGAGGTTGGCTCACCGTCTGGAAAAGAGAGTATACACGAACTGCGAGACGGAACCGTTTATGCCAATTTGTGAAGAAAACTGGTGTATCGGGATGGATCCTTCACGCTCGACGGATTTGTTGACTTCTTATTTTTGATTTTTGTATATAAGCCTTCATGGCGAGTTATCCAGTCTAGGTCTTGGACTGGAAAATGAACGACACAATTTTTGCCCAAGGTCTTTTCATGGCACAAGAAGATGGTACTCGCCCAATCATTAAATTCGAAGCAAGTCACTCTATGCTGTAGTCTATGATATCAAAACATGGGTACAGAGACGGCAAAGGCAAACAGACAGGATGTAGAAGTTCAAAGAACTCGGCGCCTACATTTTAGAACACTTGTCTCCTGCCAACAGATCCATGTTGACAGCTGCTCTGATCAATTGATTCGCGATAGCAGTTGGCGGCGGAAGCCTCAACCCTCCCTCTTTGTACTCCGGACCAGCCTTATCACCTAGCGCACTTACCCCTATTCTTAAAGCCTCCTCGACTTCCTCGACGTCAAACCATTTCGCATCTTCCAGCTCAGGATCGTGGCTTAGGTTGATCGTTTCATGAGCAGGATCGCTAACCTGTGCGATTGCTCCAATCATGAGATTTGCTGGGTAGGGCCAAGGTTGGGATGAGTGAATAATGACACGGGAAAGAGTAACGCCCGCCTCTTCCCACACCTCCCTCCGGACAGCGTCTTCAACCGACTCTGCTGGCTCGATGAAACCGGCGAGGGTTGAATACCAGTTAGGCGGATAGCGTTTTGAGCGACCAAGCAGGACCCGCTTGGCATCGGTTGAAAGAACGGCCACAATGATTGTTGGATCGGTACGTGGAAAGGACAGATTGGAAAGGGTAGTGCGCGTGTTGCAGGCTGGTCGTTCGGCTGATTTTCCCTCCGCGACACGAGCAACGTCTGTAGGTGGACAGGCACGCTTGGTACCAGAATTTACAGAGAGCGTGGGATGACCGCAGGTGCCACAGAAGCTATTGCGGTTATTCCAATCCATGAGAGCGCGAGACTGGGCGTAAATGGCGGCTGGGATGCAGTGAGTAAACGAAGTCTGCTCTCTAGATCTCAGCAAAGCTTACCTTCGTCAGCTGAAAAGGTCATGACCACTCTCGACTGGAAGAAACTCAATCCTTTTTCTTCCATAGCACTAATCACAGCTTTAGAATTGGTCTGTTGCTCTTCATCTCCCTTAGGGGTTACGTCGAGAGCAAAGAAAGGAGCACCGGTATAGATCTTCCAAGCGAGCCCATCTTGCGTACGGCTCTCGTCCAGTCCAAGGAAGATCAGTTGCGCGGTGGTTTTCCGAGAGTCATATTCCTTGATCGTCTCCTCTTCTGTCTTATCATAGATCGTCTCAGGAACAAGCTTTTCGACTTCATTATAGTGAGCATAGTACAATTCAGAAGGAGACCTTGTAAGGGGTGCAAGATCCTTCAGAAGTACGAAACGAGTGGAAGGATGCCTGATAGCTGCCGAAAGAAAAGCATGCTCGGTCCGTAGGAACGAGAGCCGGTTTAGAGGTGAGCCTAGTAATATAAGTATCGAGACAGGCTGTTCAATCAGAGGCGGGGGGCCTACTGGAGAAGTAGTTTACGGTTTCTCTCCCAAACTGTCGAGACAGCATTGACTCAGCTTGCGTATGGGCAGGAGTGGGGATCTGGGGGTGACTGGTCATAATGAATCTTATGTATGAGCCAGGTCAGTGAGCGAATTGGCGTGAAAAATCTATACCTGTAATTCTATAGAGTGTAAAAAAGAGGAGGGGGAAGCAGAGTTGAAATCGCAAGCGCAAATGTAGATAACGAGTGATTAATCAGCTGCCTCTTATAACTTATCCGAGGATCAGCATGGCGGGAAGTGACGTATTCCCGATACCATCGCTGTATGCATTCCAGAGATCTTTTATTATGGATGCTCCGGTAATACCAAAACCACAGCGGGGTACGAGGGGAAGCTCCCCACACACGTGACGTGCGTCATTGTCGGCCATCTCCAATTCAATTCTTATCGCCGGGAAAGTTCGAATGACTGTTTCTTGTGTGCGTTTTGAACAATTTGCTGACAAGATCCCGGTTCTGGATCTAGTGATTGGAAATTGGGCACTAGTTGAGATTATCCCCGTTCATCCAACATGGGCCACCTTGTCACTCTTGCAACATGGTAGGTACTACTACATTCGAGCAATTCAATGCGCCATCTACTTGCAAAGTTGGGCTGATTTGTCTTCCCCCATTAGCTCCCTTAATCAATGGGCCCTTGATTTTGAAGGCAACTGCGAACGAATTATTGAGAGCATCCGCCAGGCTAAGAAAGCCGGAGCTACTCTGCGCGTCGGTCCAGAACTTGAAATCACCGGTAATATGAGCATTGGCCATGACTACAAAGCTCGTTGCGTTGATATTTCTCTTTAGGATATGGTGTTCTTGATGGATTTCTTGAGGGCGATACGTTCCTCCATTCGTGGGAGATGTTGGCTCGTATCATTGACCACGTTGACTGTCAAGACATTGTAGTGGACGTAGGTATGCCTGTTCGGCATAGGAACGTGCGATACAATTGCCGGTGGGTGGTTTTCAAGTTGGTAAACAGGGCCGCGCTAATATTCTAAAAGCGTCATCTTTTACAACCGCAAGATCATTCTTATTCGCCCGAAGATGTGGCTCGCCAACGGTTTGTCTATGCCTTCCTTATCTCAACAATTCCTCGTATTCTTGTGCATATCTCAAGCTATTCTTCGCTAACGTTTGTGACTCAATCAGATGGAAACTATAGAGAGATGCGGTATTTTACTCCTTGGCAGCGCCCCCAAGAGATTGAAGACTATTATCTTGAATCAATCGTTGGTAAAATAACAGGCCAGTATAAAGTTCCTTTCGGAGATGCGGTCATCAGCACAAGAGATACTTGTCTAGGTTTAGAGACCTGTGAAGAGCTATTCACTCCTAACGGGTACGCACTCTGACCACGTAGTTGTGGATATCATGCTAAATTATGTGTAGGCCTCATATTCCTTACGGTCTTGCTGGTATGGCCATCGTTGCACCATGAAGCTCCTATTCTAGTAGAGACCGCTGACCTCTCTGATAGGTGTGGAAATCATCTCCAATTCGTCAGGAAGCCATCATGAGTTAAGGAAGCTTGACACCCGTATCAACTTGGTTACACAAGCTACGAAATTGGTGAACTTGCCCGCAAAAATAGTATCAACTCCGCAGGCTGACGGCTTTTCAGAGTGGAGGCATTTATCTTTATGCGAACCAGCAAGGCTGCGATGGTGACAGGCTGTATTACGATGGCTGTGCAATGATCGTTGTCAATGGCAATATCGTGGCCCAGGGGTCTCAATTCTCTCTGAATGATGTCGAGGTTGTTACAGCTACAGTTGATATAGAAGAGGTCTGGTTCCCAAAATCCTGGCTCCTGTAGCGAAAATCTAATCTCGGATAGGTTCGGACGTATCGCTCAAGTGCTAGCCGTGGGATGCAAGCCAGCAAACAAACACCATTTGTTCGTCTTGACCTCGATATGAGACTTTCTCGTCAAAACGAAGAGGCCGATCCTGGCCTTGCCCCATCTGAGACCATTGCGCCCCGATACCACGCACCTGAAGAAGAAGTTGCACTCGGCCCAGCTTGTTGGCTTTGGGATTACCTCCGAAGGAGTGGTGCCGCTGGATTCTTCCTTCCGCTGAGTGGTGGTATTGACAGCTGTGCTACTGCCATTATTGTACACTCTATGTGCAGAGAAGTCATCAAGGCAGTGTCAGAAGGAAATGAGCAGGTGATCAAAGATGTCCGCAGGCTGTGCGCTGAACCTGCGGATACCACCTGGCTTCCTACTACGAGTCAAGAAGTGTGCAAGTAAGACTGATCTTTCCAACCTTCTATCCTCTGCCCAAGGGTTCTAATATTCTCTTAGTCGCATCTTTCACACCAGCTATATGGGCACCCAAAATTCCAGCAAGGAGACAAGGGACCGGTCAAAGAGGCTCGCAACCGACATTGGATCCTATCATATCGACTTTAACTTTGATACAGTTGTAACTTCCTTGACGAATTTGTTCACCATGGTTACCAACTTCCAGCCTAAGTTCAAGGTCCATGGTGGTAGCCGGGCAGAAAACCAAGCGCTACAGAACGTTCAAGCCCGCTTAAGAATGGTGCTTTCGTACCTGTTTGCATCCTTGCTTCCTACAGTCCGGCAGCGGCCAGGTGGAGGTGGACTGCTTGTTCTGGCATCATCAAATGTAGATGGTAATTAATTTCTCCTAAGCATACTGGAATTCGCTAACTGTCAGCAGAATGGTATATACAGCTTGACTCCTTTGGCCCCGTGTACTCATGTTTAGATCTTGTCCAATGCTGACTGAAACGCACAGTTTACGTGGCTATTTAACCAAATACGATGCCAGTAGCGCCGATGTATGCCTCAGCCCCTTCTCCTTTCTGGCTGTCTTCGTCATGCGGTGAAATTTGATGCTAACAGTAAGATTTTTAAAACTAGTTAAACCCAATTGGCTCTATCAGCAAAGTCGACCTGAAGAAATTCATCGCCTGGTCTCGGGATTCGTTTGAATTGCCTATTCTTCACGAGTTTCTGAACGCCACTCCAACTGCCGAGCTGGAACCGATAACATCCACGTACGTCCAGTCAGATGAAGCGGACATGGGTGTAACGTACGCTGAGTTGTCTACTTTTGGCTACCTACGTAAGATCGCAAAACTAGGGCCTTGGTCCATGTACGAAAGATTGCTCCATGTGTGGGGTAATGAGTACAGCCCACGCGAGATATACGAGAAAACCCGCCATTTCTTCTACAACTATGCCATTAACCGCCATAAGATGACCGTACTTACCCCTAGTTATCATGCGGAACAGTACTCTCCTGATGATAACAGGCATGACCTCCGACAGTTCTTGTGTAAGTAGCCTTCTGCAGTTAAGTTGTTAATTTCTGAAACCTGCTAATGCACCACCAGACCCCTCGTTTACATGGGCATACAAGAAGATGGAAGACAGCGTCAAGTACTGGGAATCAAAAGGGTGGACTGCTGGAAAAGCACAGAAGAAGAACGTCAAGGCAGACTAGATGAATTTAGCTTAGCTACCAGTTATATAAACGCGGTCATATGTGGTTGAAGGAATATACTAAGAGATACATGCCATGGAACATCAGTTGAAATGTGTAAAATATGGAAGATTTGCACCTTGAAGAGAACGACTTAGCATAGCCAGGTAACCAGTACACGGCATAAGAGTTGGATATATGAATGACTAGCATAATGTTTGCCAGTGAGTCATTCTGAAAAAGGTTATGTGGTAAATTGGACTAGGAACAGTTCACAAGACGCCAATTCGGAAAACGCAGCGCTAAGCAGACAAGACATAGGAAAGGAATGAAAGGCGGGTAGGTAAAGTAGAGCAGTGTGAAAGAAAATATGAGGAAAGGAACGATGGGAAGCTGAGATCTCTCGACCTATTTTCCCTTCCAGAACCAGCCGCTTGGTTTTTCATCAGATGGAGCTCCCTCTGGACTAGTAGATTCCCTACTAGCCTGCGGAGGATTGATCACTTCGATAGATTCATTGCTCTCTTCCCGGCCATCTGCGAACCGCTGAGTCTTTATGGTCTTTGACTGAATCGATCCATCAGGAAGTCGGATACGCTCTGTTGAAGTTCTGGTGGATATGACGTAGCGACTTTTCTCGGCCACCGACTTGTTGGTCTCCGCAGGAGATGTATTGGTGGCTAATTGAGAGTTTGTTTCTGAAACAATCTTCTGGTTTTCGCCAGACACCTGGTCTAGGCTGCTTTCCGTGTCTTCAACCTGGTTTGCTTTCCGTAGCGATACTCTGTTATCTGGGACTCTGTATTTGTCTTCAAAGAGAAGGCGTAGGAGAGGGCTTTCCTGTGCATCCTTGAAGAACTCCCGCTCACGGGCTTCAATGTCCGCAAGGAAACGGTCGTACATATCTAGCTCTGTTACTGACTCAGGCTCAGCGTCACCCCAACTAATCTCCGCCTTTGCGCTATTACTCGAGGTTTTCCCCTCGGCCAGACTGCGGCCATCTTCTGTGTTCTTCGAATCATCGAACGTAATAGTCGACCACGGTCGGCCTTCTGTTCCAGAGATGTACTTGAAACGATCCCCAAGACTTCCACGTTTGACCAGCCCCCGCAGCCAGTCCTTCCCCGATTCCCTCTTGCTGATGTCTGCAGGATCCCTGTCGAGCATAGGCTTGCCATTCTCAAGTCGCAAAAGATCCTCAAAAGCCTCCCGCCACTGGGGCTCTGCAGGATCGTGTTCAGCAGAAAGATTCAGAGTAGACATGAGAGACGAGAATACTCCATGTTCACGACTGGACCGATATTGTGCCTGACGCTCCAAATGCAGAGGGGAGTAAGGGCTGAACATGAGGTAGGTAACAGGCCAGGCCAGAGATTCATCGTTTACCATGCTTGAGAACAGGGGCCTATCGTACGGATGAAAGAAACGGGAAGAAACGCGGTCATCGAACCAGAACCTATCGAAGAAGGAATCGAAGAAGAAGTCGATATCGAAAGGATCGTGAGGCGGACTCTGTCTTCTGATACGATGGGACTGCCAAGGATCATCTGATCCTGGCCAGCGCGACCGCGCCGGTGAATTATCAGTTGACCCAGATGATGCGCGAGTTTCTGACCCGGCATAAAGGTCCCCTTCTTTGCCGTCACCGCCTTGTCTTTGGCGAGTATGCGCGTCTTTGTAGTATCTGTCGTCTGCGAAAATAGACCAATGATCGGGTGGCGGGGCAGTGACCATCGACGGCAGCCCCGTTACTGACTGTAACATCGAGGAAATCTGTTCGTCGGCAAAGCGACGGAAAGCAACGAACGGGTTGTCGTCATCGGGCCATAGTTGAGAGCTGTGCGCAGAAGAATCTCTATCGCGGTTTAAATTGTCGTCGCCTGCCATGGTTGGTTCCTCTGCAGCAGAAGGGTCTCAGAAGGGGATAGATCAAAACTAGAACAAGAGACAGGTCAATTTGATCAAGTGGATTCCGATCAGGATAAAATTTCAGAAAGAAAAGGAAAAAAGAGGATGGGGGATGTATGATACTAAAATAAGCGTTAGCGTGGTGATCGATGAAGCTGTTGGGGATTTATCGCCCCACCTGCTCATTTAATAAATCCACAATCACCACGTGATGTCTGCAAACATGGCAAATGCTTTTCTCGACTACCATCATCTCGGATTTACATTCGCTCATCGAAATACACATTAATCGCCTGACTGGGCTACATTACATAACACATACAGACGTACAAGAGCCACATACAGTCAAGGACGGTCAAAGACGGTCAAAGACGGGAGCGGTCTTCAAATTCCTCCCACGCTCTATCAAACCCGGTTGAACGGACCCACACGGAATGTTCGTCGGAAGTTGAATCCATCACTGTATCCGTCATCAGCTACGGTTGCAAGGCACGGGTTTCAGCTTCAACTTACCCATATTCCCGATCTTCAGCCACATATCGCCAGTGATCGTCAATCCCAAATCTTTGGCTTTGGCCTCGTAAGGACGGCAGACTCTCTCTCCGTTCGCTACGGCTCTGGCCAATTTACAGATGTGTCCATCATCTCTTGGATGTGCATTGGCATATGCGAAAATATCCTCCCATTTCCTCGAAGCCTGATACTGAGTAACATCATTGAGGTACAGCTCGGGTGTATTGCGAGATACATATAGCAGCAGGTTCAGTCGTCCTTTCCATTCGAGGAGACGTAGCTTGGAGCGCGCATCTAGCCACGGAAGTGAGATGAACTTGGTGAGAAATATCGACGCATTCATGCCATGTATATAGAAGAAGTCAAATTTAACCTGCTTGGATGGTCGTTGAGCAGTAGCTGTGAAGTAGGCTGCGAAATGTCGTATTAGTACCCGCTAATGCAGACCCTGGCTCAGTGGGTACTTACCAACCGTGTCGACTATTTCGACAAGCTTTTCTTCCATTTGATCCTCGGAGATGGTGAATTCTGCAGCATAATTGATCATTTCATCAGGCGCCCGTACCAGGACGCCGTCCCTCATCCTATTCTCATCGTCCCAATGCGCGGAACTAGCCAATTTCTCATTGTTGCGTATTTCCTCCAGGATTTGCAGCAATGTTTTCTTTCCGGGTTTGCCAATGCCCCCCGCTGCCTTTTCGGCGGGTAAGAGAAACATTGGGCCAGTCCAGTCCTCATGAGTAGCAGCTTGGGCAAGGGCCTCTGCTACGATGGCAGGCTGATTGAACTCAATCCCGAACCCCAAGTGGATGAGTGGATGAATGAGACCTAGAGCATTCCAACAACAGTAAGCCCTATACGTACGGAATATTGCCAACTGGGCTGAGACATGCATGCACTCACCTCCAAACAATCTTACAAGCATATCTTCCGCGATATCATCCCCAGCGAAAATGTGTTGCTTAACCACGTCTTCAACCCCTTTTGTTTCAATCTCACGTTGGAAAAATTCCAAGAAATTGGGGTAGTTATCTCGTTTGCCAAGGCATTCTTTGAACCGAGCCTGGTCATATAAGGACTGAACCGCACTGTCATTGGCCGGTAAAGCAGGTCTCTGGTAACTCTTATTTCTCTCATACGCGGCCCTAATCTCGTGTGGGGAAGCCCCAAGGGCAAACATGGTTAGAATATGGTGGACGATATGGTCTGTTACATTAGCATGAAATTTTTCCTCTAGTGATAAATACGAGGTATCAAATCGAGAAACATACTATGGAATCCGGAATCGTTGAAATAAATGTGGTGCTTCTCTAGATTCTCCTGCAAGACTTCGCTAGCAGCTCGAGCAGCATCCTCTCTAACCCCGGTAGAGTAGACACCGGAGTCAGATGTGGACAGCTCAATTTTCCGTGCTGTGGCCATTGAACTTCGTAAAGCGTCGACACGGTATGTGGTTTCGGAAGAGGCAAGGCAAATCCCTGATGCCCGATAGTTAGAATCAACCGCGCTTGTGCTGAATGGTGACGAGAACGCGATCCGTCGGAAATGTTGAACAGCCGGAAGATAGCAACTAAATTGTTGAGAAGTCAAACACCGAGGACGAATGGCTTGAAGCCTCCTCGGCAATAGCGACGATCGTTGTGTAGTACCAGCGGGTTGGCGACAACAGTCTGCCAATGCAATACGAATGGTTTTCCGATTCATAAACGCTGGGTAGAGTAATGACCAGGAAGCCTCGTCTATCGCAGGCTTATTTATCTTGGTGTGACGGCCATACTAGCGTATAGTTCAATATGCGGGGGCAGCAGTACTCGTGAGTACAAATCAAGTCGGGCTTCGGGGCTTTGCGACGCCCGAGCCACGTCATATGGAGGCCAGAGCCAATCATACAAGAAAGGTTTACCAATTTCTCGTGTTTTAGTTGTAGGTCTGGTTGATCTAATTGAACAAAAAGAACCTGCAGGCTGAGGGATTTAATAATTCTGACGAAGGGTTAAGTTGTCTGGATCGCATCTCGATAAATTTGGCTGCTTACACATTTATCCATCCGTTACCATTTGATTGTGGACTAGCTGATCCAACAGCTTCACGACGCACCTCGCCATAACTCCTCGGGCTTTGGTATGTTATCATTAGAGAACTCTATATAGGCACCCGTATGCATCTTTCAGCCAAAGCCAAAGGTCTTTAATATCCTGGTGGCCTCAAATGGACCTGTATAAAATGGTTTCGTGGTCGTGAATCGCTCGAACGCTCTACTTATCTATTAAACAAGACAACTAGGCATACTAGGAGCTATCAAGACGTTAAGATATGTGCTTTCCTTTGATTTTGAGCTTCGTACACATATACATGTCTTCATAGTTTACGCCTATTCTACTATTCTGTCGTGAACTCTCCGGCAATACTTGGGATGAGCAAATTCCTACTACCACCTGAGCTAGTCGAGGTCATATTTCTCCTCTGTTGATTCCTCTGTACCTCAAGAATCTCCTCGCTCTCGGGCCCAATGGCCTGATGTGTCTTCCAGTAATGACCAGCTCGGTGGCCGATCAACTTCAACCCAGAGATGCCCCCGAAGCTGACGAGCTTCGAATATAAACGAACGCCTTTGACTATCTGCCCCCTTCTTTCTCTCTCCTATCGATGAATGCCATTCATCAATCTACTACTTCGAGTACTATCGTCTAAATCAACCAATAGCAATTCTAATACCGTTAATAATGAAGTTTCTCTATCTAGCACTTCTTCAATTTCCCGCCCTACATCTTGCAGCCCTGAGGGCCCTAAATAAGTGCCTATCAATCAAGAATGAGCCTTCCTTATGGCAACCCTTGTATGTAGACATGCTCTGGAGCAACTGATCCCTAACTAATTAAGACAAGTCCATCCTACATGTATTGGTCTCGATAGTTACTGTTGCACCTGGGAGGGGTGTCAGCGGTGCTGTACCTTCTTGTATTGCTATCTAGACAGAAACCCGGCCGAAGGGCGCTGTGTTTCTTACTAAGTACTCTGTGGACACACTAAGGTTAGTTCTTTTTGCAGCCTCTCTCCCCCTTTAGCTCACCAATGCAGACGTTGTCATCTAATGAGCTTCAGCTGATTCTCAGGCCAACTTAGCTTCCTCGCTGCAGTTCTGAGAATTCTTGGGTAATATTTCGGGTTTAGCTTGGAACTTCGTGTTCTCAAAAGGGAATATGTCATTGTAACTAGGATAATCCCAGGCCATACATTTTTGCCTCGTTGAGGCCTTTGAAACAAAAGCACATCTCACGGTAGTCAAATGCTCTAAACAAGCTCTCTTACGTGTAAAACTGCCCTGTCACCTATATCGGACTGTCGACTCAAGAATACGTGTTACACTACTTGATCAGTGAGTCCAAAATGATGATGGTGGGGGAAGGATATAGAGTCTTAAGCAGTAACCCTAAAGCAAGCCCCGCTTCATCGGACGGCAGAAATCTGTCGTAATCTAATTCTGAATTTATCTACGATTCTTCAGGCATAGAGCTCATTCTTCAGAAAAAAGGTGCGGAAAACAATGTTGATCACGGTGTCCATCGCCGTGTCCGCAAGGGCAGTTCACTACCTCATTTCCAAGACAAACGAAGCCTGGAGTCTCCAGCTCGGTAATCATAGTTGAGTCAATTATGGACGATCCCACATCAATTAGCGTAAAGAGTCTGCAGCACTAGACCAGGGGTAAAAAGCTTGGATTTGCCCCGAGATAGAATGTGAGACCCTTGATCCATTTTAACGGCCCAATATGAAGATCACAACACAGCTACGCAATTCCACCGAAGTTTTATCCCCAAAACATCCGATAAGAAGGGCATACCGGCCCTCAAACTGGTGTATGTCTTGAAGAACCTCGGGAGATCCCGGCTGAATCTTCAAGAATAGACCGTGAGGAACTATTGCGGCCGAGTGTATCAGGTAGATGATAAAGATGGTGGCGGAGCAAGTATCTTGTCGGCAGGCTAGCTTTCGTCAACGGGTCTTCTTTTCTAGGGTATTGGCGACGCTGTCTAAAACGTCGGGGGGTTCATTTATTGACGATCTGTGGGTCTAAGGTCCCGGTCTATAGGTTTTCGATCGAGAAGCTCGCTTTGACATGCTTCTTAATATCTCTACTATTTCCCCTGAGAAATATGGATAACGCATGTAGTATAACGAGGTCATCCTACCTGAGAAGGATTAATATAAATATGAATGTTAGAACGCAGGGAATTATTATGATCTACTATAGCGTTTACCTTTTATTGACCTAAGTGAGAGCGGGACCTTGTGACATTGATTAACACAATAATTTCAATAATATGTAGTATATTAAGATTAGAACATATAAGGACTAAGGTCTACCGCCTGAAAAGTTGGCCAACAAGCTATCCAGCCAGTCTCTCTTTATAACCTTTCCTTTCCAAAACCCTACACTCACTCACCACTTTAACCAAATCCACTCATTCAACCTCAATATACTGCAACAATGCGTTTCTTCACCTTCATAATCACTGTCTTCGCAACCAGCGCCCTCGCTGCCCCGGCCGCCATCAACCCCGACTGGATGGGGGGTATTCTCAACATCTTCAACAGACCCCACCGCAAAGTCAGCGCTGAAGCTAGTGCTAGCCCCAGTGCCAGTGCTGCCAGTTCCAGTGTCGCTTTGATTCCTACTCCGAGTCCCACCGTTGGCACCATTGTCCCGCTGTAATATTGCCGGTATACTACCTAGCTTGGAGTACCTTCTAGCCAGGATGAACTAACGGCTATTAAACCAGGCTTCGTGCAAGGGAATCATCGCTATAGTAGGCTATTGCGCGGGGAATATACAATATGGATGAAATAAAAGGGAAAAATGGAGGACGCAGCCGTCTCGACGTCTCGATAGTCTCTGAAGTAGCTCTTCTGTTCCATTTGAATGGAGTCCTTAGCTTGTATATACACGGTCATAAGTGCTGCGGGCGGTTAAAATTAGTCTTGTTGAGCCTGTCATTTGGTAATGGGATATTGTTTGATGCTAATTATCTAGCTTAGTTCAATTTGTAAGAATATACATTCATGGATATGGGATGTATTTTGTCAGATTATAGTAAGTTTATCATGCGTACTTTGTGATTTGATGCAAACTGCTTTTCCAAACAGATATATGACCAGTGCAACCCTATTACCAGGAGAAAAAGTGCCAATCTGATGAATAAAACTGGTTTCCATCTGAAATTGTATTGGCATCTCAATCAATGCATGCCAAACTCCTCCATTTCCTTCTTCCTCTTCTGACGCTCCCGCTCTATCTTGCGGAACAGTGGGTGGTGTCCCACTTTGTCCTTCAGCTGCTTGTTCCTGCTCTTGTTGTACTCGATATATGCCATGTCTTCTCCACCTGCCAAACCGCTAAGAGTGGCGGCACTGCGTTTAACGGCTCCCTTCTTAGCCCTTGGACCACCAGAACGTTCAGAGAACAAGTCATCAGTTACGGCTTCAACATCGGCGGAAGTTTCATTTTGCAGCATAACCTCCTGTAAAAGCTCACGCCGTTCACCGGGGGTTGCATAAGCGAGCCCCTCCAGATTTTCAATGCCTTGGAGATGTGTGATAACTTTGAACGCGTAGCCTTGGTCGACAAGGAAAGCTTGTCGTTTGGAAGAATAGAACATCTCGTCCGTGTCCTTTGAGACAAGAGAGTAGAAGAATGCATTGAAGCCCTCGTCGTTACGACGCTTAGCTCGCAAAATTCGGCCCAGCCGTTGAGCTTCTTGACGACGGGAACCGTAATGTGATGAGATCTGAATTAGACAGGTTGCCTCAGGCAAATCCAAGGACGTGTCCCCAATCTTCGACAGAAAGATGGTGTTGACTTGCTCGTTGTGCTGAAAGTTCTCCAAAATCCGCATACGCTCATTTTGGGGAGTGCCACCATAAATGTAGGCTTTGTTCAACTTAAGGGCATAACGCTCGAGCGCATAGACATTGTCAGAGAACACGATAACCTTGTCTCCACGCTTTTCATGGTAGTCGATGAGGAATTGGCAAGCCTGGAACTTTCGGGGGTTCATAATGTAGAGTAAGGCTGCTTTCCTTGACTTCTCTCTCATGTACTCGGAATAAAACTCCGTAGTCATAGGACACCACACCTCAGCGCATTGGACTTTGGCAATGTGTCCTTGCTCTGCAAGTTCCATCCAATTAGCTTCGTATAACTTTGGGCCAATCAAAAAGTTCAAATCTTTAATCTTGTCATCTTCACGCAAGAGGGTCGCAGTCAAACCGAGCTTGCTTTGGGTCGCGATAGCCGATGTAACTTTACGGAACATAGATGCAGGCACCACGTGCACCTCGTCAAGAATCATTAGACCCCATTCACGCGATTGGATCCAGTCCATCATTTTCTGCGCATCATGAGACCGGGCTCTTGTTTGGGAAACCATTGAATATGTCGAAACAATGATACCGGTCGATCTGCGGAACTTTTCCTTGTTGTCTGAGGTGAAAACGGCAATATCGCCTGGGTCGATATTCGACCACCGTAGGAACTCATTTCTCCATTGAACTACAGACATGGAGCTGGTACAAAGAATGATTGTACCCTTCTTGATAGTGCAAGCAGCCGTAATACCGACTAGGGTCTTTCCGGCACCACAAGGAAGGACAATGATACCACTTTTAGCACGTCCATTACCGAACATCTTACTTAAACTCTTCTCCTGATAACTTCGGATTCGAGCCTGCGGTTTCAGGTCGATATCCAACGTGGGATTGATTTCATCGTTCCGGAAGTCATACTCCTCTAATGCCGGGCAGCCCATTGCCTGGCAGCGAGCCTTGACAGGTTCTACTGCTTCATTCGGAATTTCAAAGCTGTGAACCTGAGCTTGCTCTTCATCGTCATCTTCATCGCGAATGGCCAATAGTAAATCATCCTCCTGGCGCTTCTCTCCTTGGCTTTCCTCTGCCGGCTGCTGCTGGTCCGTGCTCTGCTTCACTCCTGCTGCATCCTTGGTACCAGGGATAACAAGTCCGCCCATCTTGGGCGCAGCTTGCTGAATGATATCGGCTGACCCGCCCTGGACCCTCTGAGCCCCAATGACTTCATCCTGCAGAAGCATTTGCAACATGGATGGGTCAGTACTTTCCACGAAGAAGCGATTATGTTTCAACACGACTTTGATCTTTCCGTATGACTTCGTAAAATCGATGATGAAGGATTTAATGGTATCCGGGAGGGGGGTCTTCGACAACCGGTCAAGGAAGTTGATGATATCCTGAGGCTGGAGACCAACCGAAACAGCCGCATACAAACTGTTTCCCGTCAACCTATATTCGTGCAGATGGGTCGGACGTGACAGCGGTTCGGCGATGGTGGTCAGGAAATCCTGCGCCTGGGGAGCCAAGGGCGAGAAGCTCTCCAAAGTGATGGTTCCTTTCAAGGGGTCGATCCATAGCGGACGGTTTGCGTGGTCTGGTTTCAGAGGGAGCGACGAAAAGTCCTTGTAGCCGAAATTTGGATCCTGCTTCTGTACGGCGGAGCTCTTCTTATTACTGAATGATTCGAGGGAGAACTTGTCGACGACCTCTTGAAGAAAGTCAGCACCTGGGTGGTTACTTTTCAAGAGGTCCACTTGCTATACCTTTCAGGCTATCTTCCTTTGGGTCGTATTCGGAAAACTCATCGCTACTATCGACATCCTGGATGTCAGGAACCGGAGTTGCGCGCTTCGAAGCTCTACTTGACCGACCGCCTAACGAAGGTCAGCCCTGTCATCTACCTGATCCCAGGGTGGGAACCATACTGTCGGTTGCCTTGCGCTTAACAGGCATATTGTTGTATTGTGTTATAGTCCCCTGAAACCGATGTCTATTGTCTATTGTGCTGATGTTATGCCAAAACGAGTGTGCATACTTCGAGGCTACCAGCGCCTCAGCAGAGTTCCAAGCAAATCTAAAGGTTCCTTTATTAGAATACGAGCAGTACCGTCCAGCTGGTGTAAAGTTGAGAGAAGCCGGAAGCGATAAGCGAGTTGAAGGGGATGTAGGGAAAGAGAAAGGTGAAGGAGATGAAAATGAGATGCAATCCGGTAGATCGATGACTTTACTCCGACGTTGTTAACGCCTGAGGCCAATATATGTGGCGAAGGCGGAAGTGGTGGCTGGTTGGCCGGTGGCACAGCAACGGGCTTAAGAGCGAAGCGGCGTTCCGACCTTCGGCCGAGTGTTAAGTCTTGTTGACGTAGTTTCTACTCCGTCTTCATTTTTCCATCAATCGAGGATTGTTTTTGCTCAATCTCGATATCCGCACATTAAAAAAAAGATGAACACGGTAGGTGTATAAGGACTGCAAACACACTAGACGTAAAACCTTGCTGACATTGTTTGGGGAAATCTATAGATCCGATCAACCTGGTGAGCGGGAGACCACCTACAACGCTTCACTATTTCCGGGCGACATGGAACGTAGATTACTGACTTGCTGTCGGCACACGTGAACAGGGTAGGCTGGGGTACTCTCTGCGTCGGTAAGGGGACTCTCAAGCGCCCCATGTCTCACGACAGGCAATTGCACTCAAGAGCTCCACGACTGACTTCGATAACCAGCTGGCGGCGGAGCCTATTATTTCGCTAAGAAATCGATCAATGCGGACCGAGCTGCTCGATATGAAGCAGAGACCAAGCGCAAAGCGAAACTCGCGCAGATGGAAGCAGAGCACCGACGCCAGTCGACTTTCAGCGAGAAAGTTCCGACCCCGTCCGAATCCCCTAGCTTGAAACGGGCCAACATGGCACAGTTCCAGAGTGCAGCGGACGATGTAGCCTCACCAAGCGCGGAGGCCAGCCACGATCCCGCTCCAACTCGTCACGAACCCGAATCCGAAGCAGACCGGGTGCTGGAGAAAGGGAAATACGAAGCAGCTCAACCGTTCCGACCTCCGCGAGGTAATCGATTCAGCTGAGCGCGTTCACTCTCACACGTGAGGGCATGCGGAAGGAATTTAAATTTCCCCTGAACAATAGAGATGGCAAGACGTCATATGCGCATGCCGTGAGTGTGCTATGGCTTTGTATCATATCGTGCTATTATATGCTTGGCGAGCTAGGCGACTTCTTAAATCTCGCGAAGTTTGCGGGTTTCGTGGTACATATCTTACGGGTCGTGTTAGGGAATCAAAATGCTGTTTTCATTTGAGTATTCATCCAGTGAATTAGACTCGACAAAATTGCACCTTGTGTAAGGTACATAAAACTGCCATGATTCATTTCTGCACTGCAGCAACACCATCATTCCACTGCCCTACCAGAGGGAAACCTGGGTTATTCGTTTGCGATCGAGTTCGCATGATCACTGTGGTGAGAATGCATGCATGCATCGTTTCTCTAGTCGAGAGAAGTATGCAGGTCTCCGATGCTCGCAATCATACAGACTCGTTAAGAGAACAAAATTAGAAATGGGTAATACTTGGAAGAAAAAAAAAAAAAAAAGACACAACGCCAGCAAACTCCGTCCAACAATATGCACTTCACACCACAAATACCATATTGTGGTATGTGTAACAAATATCGACGCCCGTACGCCCACAATTTGCAAGTCCACCCGGGGTGGTGATATCAAAACAAAGGGAAAAAGAAAGGTCGTCGCATCAAAGATTGGCGGAAATACGGCAAATGTCCCGATGCATGTCAGGTACCAGATTCCTCCTTCGGGGATGGTAACCGAGACGACATATTAACGGGCATGAAAACAGAGCGGCGGGTGTGGCCTAGGGAGACAAGGGTCAGCCAATCAGCAACCGTATTCCTGTGTATCCGAGTATGGGCAAGTCGAGAACATACTGATTGCAATTGGGACCGTCTGTATTTTTAGCGCGAGAGCTTTCAAGGGCTGGAGGGACAAATGGCAGCACCACTGCCGAGAAGAGACACGAGCTGGTGACGAATCGAGAGGTGCGACTGTCTGGCTGTGGACGGCGAACAGAGAAATGGCGGATAGTTGGGCGAACGAACCGAACGGCGATAGCCATCTTGTAGTGCAGTGTACTAGTATACTAGTCTTGTGTTATAGTGTAGCGAAGTTGTAAAGGTCTAGATCTAATAGCAAACGCCGGTATGCTCGATGGTAGTGAGAAAAACAAACAGTCTTAGTAGTGGTCACGAGTATTTTAAATCCAGCTTTAATTAGGATTGAGAGAGGACAAGGGGGGGAGTTCTTCTACTACTTATATAGGAGGGTGAGTGATATAATGATGGAAGTACCAACGACCTGTAAGTGAGTAGTTTACCTATAGAGTTGAGCACCTGAGCCGAGTGGGCCGATTTGTTGCGACCCAGTGGGGAAGTTTCGACTGCGGGGTCTTCTGACTCCGTACGGAGTACTCAAGAAATGATGCCATGGGTAAAGAATGAAACAGAACGCGGCAACGGTACGAACGTTACCACACCACCCTTATCTTTCCTCATGACCTCGGGGGTCGGAAGAGCAACCCGAGAGCCAATTTACAGTAAATACAGTGTATCAATTAAAGTAGTTCAAATCCCAATATCTTATGTACATACATGTTCGTGTACCTACACTCTGGAGTACTACTAGGTTGATTAAATACATACCCCACCCTAATTCAAAACAAGCAGCCGGAGTATTTCTTTCTCAAGATTTCAACTAGTGGGCTGAACAAACTACCGCCACTACGTAAACTAACGGTGAGTGAATTCCGTGATGTGCAGACTCACGCCATTGAGGGGCAAAAATGGTCGCAACTTCCGGCCGAAGACTAGACGATCCAACTGCGGGGCCGATGGAGTCCAGGAACACGGGCGGTGATCGCGGTAGTTGCGTTTCCGTATCATCATTCGATACCTGCAGCGCCTAATTGGGTTAAAACAATGGTGAACAGTTGAACCTGACATCGGGTCGGTTCGTCATTAAGTGCTCTGATGGCGGCAGTTGCCCATCCGAAGGCCGCAGGTATACGGACGCCGAAGTCCTTTGTCTGCCTGATAACCCTCACGAAAAAATGAGCCAACCCTACAACCAAACCAAACCAAACCTCAAAATTGCTTCAACCCAAGATCCAATGCCAAGATAAGCTTAGTATCTCATGCCCAACCGTACCCCTATTCTGAGAAGCTAGGCAAAGCCCTTGTTCTGGCGTGTTGTACACATCGGATGACTCGTCAACCAGCTGGTTAGTTGTTCAGATCGTTCAACTAACTAGTAACTCCCTGCAGCTTCGGAAGGGTCCTCAGCAGTACGTACACAGTACTACATAGCAGTTTTCCTTCGCCCCACAATGCTGGAAAGCCCTAGATTTAACTCTTTTAACCCTCAAACTTACCAACGATAACCGATAACGAACCACTGGATTCAAGGGCTAAGTGTGGATCTATTCCAAATGTTGATCAGCCTTAAGGCATTTCACTCTCCACGTGCGGTAATTAACAAGGTAAGGAGCAAAACTCCATAGTTTAGAAGTTGTTTCTCTAGGTGCCTATTAGGTTGCAACTTAGTGTAATGCTTGGAATATTCCTTCAATAGCCTTACGTATAGATGTGTTTGATCACCGACTTACTATCTAACCACAAACAAAAACCACAAATACTTTACATAATAGACTCCGAAGAATCTAGGAGATATGTAGGGCATAGTATTGCTCCACCCACGTAGAGTAGATCTAGCTTATCATGAAAAGTAGGGCTCCGCTTTGACCACTACCCTGATTGACTCCTTCGGGAGAACTCATACTGCTGAGTGCTTATCGTGGAGGATATGATCCCTTCCGTGAAGCTACATCTATATATAGTATGTAGAACTAGCATGGAAATAATACCCGAGTATTCAGCGAACAGACCATTAAAGTCAAACTTGAACATAATGAACGCTGTAGGCCAGAAAAGTTGCAGACCAGATCCAGGGTTGAAGAAAGCAGATACTATTAAATTGCTTGCTACGAATGAATGTCTATGATCTTGGGAGCTGTTTTACATACAGAATGGTTCAGATGCGGTCAGACCACTACGGAATTAAGCCCGGGTGGACCCTCCACTTTCCCGAACAGGGAAGGTTAAGGGCCTGACAGCCTGAGACGATCAACGACAGCTGATGTTATCACTAGTACCACTGCGCAATAGACATCATGGCATGAAAGGAGGTTCTTTTTGGTCTTATGTGGTCATTCTAATTCCGAAGAGATGGGATATGTACACGACAAGAAAATAAGATTAAAGTGAGAGTCGAGATATAAGAAGGCGGGAAAAGAAAGGAAGAATCTGGCCTCCACAGATAGAATTGGCACAATGCGAAGCTAGGGTCTAATGCCTTCTACCGTGATGATGATGATGTCTCCTGTGATATCTCTGATGAACCTGGGAAGAAGAAGCAGTGGGTAAGGAATCAGCGTCGGACTGATTACTCGCCATCCCACTTGAATCTCGTTTGGCTGGTAGGCTGCTATTTGCAACAACTGGACCGAAGCCAACACACGCATCTGGTATGGCCTCCTTGAGATCCTACTTGTTGTTAGCATTCTCACCAATACCTCGTGCATGTGTACTTACAGCAATTGTGAGTTTTGCCAATGGATTCCCTTTGTCACTGGCTCTCGTTATCTCCGCATTAAGGCTAACTCCAGCCGAGGGAGCCACACTGACACCAAAGACATGATGTTTTTCATCATTTGCACAGACCCCAGCGGTTGCTATATCCATCAGTCAATATAAAGAGAATCAAGCATGAAGACGACTCACACTCAGAAAGAGATAATGTAGCCCCGAGGACAGGCTTCAAGTTGACGCCTGCTTCAAATCCATGGCCTATCCAGATCAGTATTTATCTTGGTGAGTGATATCGGTTATACATACCAAGAGCCTCAGCGGCTAATTGAATTGCAGCTTTGGCATGAATATTGACACCGGCTTCGATTTGAGCATCTACCTTCACCGGTTCAGTACGAACTTGGGGGGTCCACCCTGAGTGCACTACATGAGGTGAGAGAAGGTCAATCTTGAGCTCCGCAGAGTCCAGAAGGCTGATGTCTATTCCCGAGGAAATAGACGCAGAACCAGAGACTGGACCCACGCTAAAACCAAGGCTAAAGACAATTTCCGGGCCCAGATCTAAGACACCAGGTATCGAATATCCGTATATCGGTATCTTCGCAAGGTCGAACTGCTGAGAGTATTCTTCGGTGAAATCTCCACTTAATGTCAACTTGGGCCCTATCCTTGCAGACACGCCGTGAGCTGTAAGCGTGAATGTTGCGGCCTTGGGTACATGTTTCTCGTTCCTAAGGTAGAAACCGAGTTCGAAGCTTCCTTTTGTGCCACACTGATCGCACGACAGTGTTAAAGAGAAGGCATCTTCGGGAGTAGAGAAGTCCTTCTGAGGAAGATCCCACAGGTGATCAAAACTCATGGTCAAGGTTTTCTCGTGCTCTTTTCTTTTCATGTGCTGCGGCGCGACACATGTATCGTGCACTTCTTCTTTAGCCACTCTGCCCACTGAAAGCTCAAAGGAATAGAAAACATCCTTCCATTCTGATCGTCGAGCTTGCAACTTTGCAGTCTTGGTGTGGTCGTCAAACTCAATTTTCGAAACGGCAAAAGGCAGTCTATGTGTATTCCATCCACACTGACCTGTGCCGGCGACCACAATAAGGGTGTTTCGTTCAATCTCATTGACCCATTTCCATGCACGCTTGGTGTATTCAAACGACTTCTGGTTCTTGAAATCGACAGCCAAGCTAGTATTGGTACAATGAACTGACTTCAGCAAATACTTGAATCTTTCCATAGATACAACGCTTGTATCATCATCGGTTTCAACAACAAATTCAGCGAAAGCGGGCTGTCCGTTTTGGGAAGCTGTTGTTAGAAGTTAGAAGTTGAGAGACATCTTGAGTGATTTTGGTCTTGGGCGCTGAACAAGTACACATACCAGTCCAATAGAAAGAATCCTTCCTTTGAGGTTCCAGATGGGAATGGTGCGACTCGTTGTGATATCGTGCACCTCTCACTAGGAGCTGTTTTCCAGCTATTTTAGGTGGTTCGGCATCGCGGAATACCAGGGGCGCGCTTTGCTGAAGCGAAAGGGTGATCAAAAGGCCGAAAGACAGCCAAAAACGAAGAAAGTTGGCCATCTTGGTGGCCTAAAATCAGCTTCGCCGTGGCGGCTATTGTGATACTGCTCAAGCTGACTGGAAGAGCATCGGTATAGCTGGGACCAGCTGTAGAGATGAATGTTTGCTTGCTGAACATGATGTCCGAGTGGCATTCGCAGCTATAAGAGGAGCTAAGCGTCGTCTAGTTTCCCAGAACAGAAGTTCTCCCCTGTCATGCAGCTCTACTCTCCAATCCCCTATCCGAGGTTCACAGGGTGTAATGAGTAGTTCGGTGGTTCTCTCCGATAGCGCGGTGGACTTGCCCTTGGCATGTTTTTTGATTCAGGACAACGGACGCTTCGGCCGATCCTACTACTACGTACGGAGTACGTCGTTCAGAGACTACCAGTAAGCGGCAACGCTAAAGTAGCCAAAATAGCAGTGTTCCTGCCGATCCCTGTGCGTCCTTGTCTTTTCCGAGGAAAGTCTCCGATGAGATCGACCCCATTTCGAGCTCTCTACTCAGTAGTAACTCGTAGCTTTCACTGCGTTGGAAGTGCAACCAGTAATATATGGGAATGTGTTCCTGTTTGAGCAGCCAAATCGATCGACGGTTTGGTAAGAATACCATCACCTCCTCAAGTTGTTTCCGCTGACCGCCGCAAAGAAGATATTTTTTTATAATTAAACCAGGACGGACAGGATTACGCCAAGAGGTATGCATTCGAGACATACATTGTAGGATTAGCGATTTAACCAAAAGGGTAAGCCCAATGGCCAGGGTCCAGCAGAGTGGTTAAAGTGCCAAGCTTTTCCCGTTATTAGTGAGACGTTACTAGTTCCATAGGGCCATTAGACTGTGCAACTAGTATCTCCTGTCCCATAACTTATCTTGGTTCTTATAGCTGAAGACTTTTGCACAGCCATATCCACCGGCCCATAATCCGCCCAGTTCGAATTAGAGCTGGAAGCCGGCCGTTGGAGCCCCAAAGGGAGAAAGGAGATATATAGGGCTATGAATACTTGATCTTCACACGTTTCAACCTAGGGTTATCTTCAGTCAGTCCAACACCAGTATACGTAAGAAATACTAGCACAGGGTCTTAACGGGAGTAAATTGGAGACCTGAGTAGGCTGATGTCAGCCAGCATGGTCATGCCGATATAACAGTTAATGACTCCAGTACTCTCCCCTGTCCAGTTCGAGTGACACGGTGCCAATAATGATTCACTGTTAGCGCACTTAACGTAGCCTTGCGAGTTTCACAGAAATTAATCCCATACTATGGGATCCGCTATGAACCAAAACACAGCTGATAGTCTCCTGTTCACATCCACTTTTTGGTAGTTCTTAGATAGTCTCCTCTTCAGATTCTCTTTCTCGTATTTCTTGCTTAACCGCCAAATAAAAACCCCCACTTAAGGAGGAAACCATATGGCGAAGCTGAAGGTTGCAAAGAGTATCCACTTTCAAGACCACGTAGGGTATATACTATATCCGAGGGAGGAGTTTAGTTGGCCAATCCTCACTTTGATCGTTTACCCTACCGATATCCTATAATCACAAGCGCCATGCTCGCACAAATCTCCTATGTACGTCACTTTGGACACTTTACTAAAAGACTGAGCCCCTGCGATCCAGTATATTTTGCAGCTGTGTATAATTGGACTTACTATAGGCCGCCGAGCATTTGGCTTTCCCATTGGGGACATACTGAAATCTGCTCTTTAACGCGCGCAGAATAAAGCGGAGACCTCTTCTTACGCTAAATCGTGTCAAGCTATTGTTGTAGACTGGCGCGAGAGATGAACACCATGCAACAATGCCAAATCTGCACTGCCGCTTACTCAATGGTGATCCCCCTCAAGAAGTACGCTTTCGCATAAGGCTTTGTGGAGATTAAAAAGACGTCCCGGGAAGAAGTAGGTGCACGAACTATCTAGGTAGCTCTGGCTTTGTGGGGCTGCTGCTTGTTTTGTATACCTCCGTACTCAGGTATTCTTTTCCATGTGTAGGGAGGTGAAAGTAGAAGAAAACAGATGATGCCAACGAGGAGAACCACCATTATTTGACCTGCGTTGCATGATATCATGCATGAAATACTGCACAAGCCTACGAGTACTGAACCCCCTTAGCGGCTTTGGGAATGCCATTGATGGCACTAGATATCTTTCGTGTGGCCGTTGAACAGCCTTGTAAGATGGATTGGCTTGAGGGCGCGAGTTCTGTAGAGCAATGCAACCTGGTACAATAATGATTCTTGTTCCATCATGCATAAATGTGTTCGAGATGGAAAGGGAATAGTACGGAAATAGAAGTGATTAAATCACGTGCGATAAGCGGAACCCGAACCGGCTTTCAACTCCGTAGCCAAATCGACATCAAGAACCCAACAACACCCTCAAAAGAGATACTGCTGCTTGCAATGGCCTCTCATCAACTTGCCATTGCGAAGGCCTCATTCTCTGCGGGGCTTTTACGCCCAGACCCCACGTCCGTCCCGCGCGACGAGATCACAACATTCCATACCTCATTCGACAGGGCGCTATCGCATTGCTCCTCAGCAAACATCCAGGTTTGATTGCGAGTCCTTAGCACCGATATACACTGCAATACTAAATTTGTGACTCGGCGCGGCCGCTAGACCTGCAAAGAATGGCTTCTCGAGTACGTTGTCTCATCGTCAAATCGAGTGAATGTTTGGGCCAAGTACCTGGTTGCGCTGTCCGGTTCGTTTAGCGAAGACGGGCAGCAGCCGCAAGCCAAGCCACAGCAAACCCGGCCCATTTCTGCGAAGAGGAAAAGGTTACACATACTCTACCTGCTGAATGACCTTTTCCATCATACCAAGTATCATCTGGATTCAACTGCCGCCTTTTCCACCTTGACTGGCTCATTGCAGCCGTACATTGTGGAGTTACTGGGCTACGCTGCTTCCTACGACCGAGAGAAGCACCCCAAACACCATGGACGACTAGATACACTGTTGGATATATGGGAGCAGCATGGCTACTACGGCAGCGACTATGTCAACAAGTTGCGGGAGGTGGTCAAGAACTCGGCGTTGTCTGGCCCTGTCAAGACATCTATTGACGTTGAAGAGAGTAACACGGACTCCGCCCACCGGCTTCCGAGCAAAGATGTGCCATTCATCATGCCATCTACCCATGGGGACCCGTCTACTCCTTACTACGACCTTCCTGCAGGCAACCTTGTCCCTCACATCATCCCTAATTCGACTATTCCTCTTCGTCCAGATTCGATCAAACCACTGCAATTCCTGGCTGGACCAGCGGATGAAAAGTTGGTAATTGCTTTGAAAGCGTTCCTGAAAGACGCTGATCAAATATACGGAATCGATAAACCAGAGCCCAAGGAAGATGAGGTAGTCGATATAGACGAGCTGGGCCAGACAGTCATACGCGACAAGGATACAGGCGACATTCTCAGCGGTGACACATACTACGGGTGGTCTCGAGGTTTTTGTCAGCAAATGAAGAAGAGGAATGCGAAACCCAGCTCTCGAAGTCGCAGCCCAAGCCCTCGCAAGAGAAGGCGTTACAGTGATAGCTATAGCGACGACAGCAGGCGGAGCAGATCGAGGTCGCGGAGTCGTACTCCACCTCGCAGATTTGGCCGGTATGACTCTCGTTCACGTTCTGTATCTCGATCACGAAGTGGTTCCCGGCGCTCGCATTCACGGGAGAAATCCTATTCTCCTCGCCCACCTTCCCCACCGCGGTCCATGCCTACGCAACACCACAACCAGTTCAACAATGCTGCGGCCCCAGGCTTTCCTCCACAACCGCCACCGATGCATTTCCAGCAAGGCCCACCACCTGCATTCCCCCAAGGGATGCCAGGAGCACCTCCGCCTCCACTCAATTATCAAGGTCCGTGGCCACCACCGCCCCCACCTTTGCCAAACTACGGCCCTTCGAACTTTCCGCCCCCGTTCCAACCACAAGGTGGACAGTTTCCTCAACAGTTCCCCCCAGTACATGTACCACAGGGGCAGCAAATGCCACCCGGATCCTATCACTTCCCTCCGCCTCACTCGGGGAGAGGCTGGAATCAGCATGGCTACCCACCTGGTCGTGGATGGAAGTGATTTTGAATGTACAGAAAGCTAGCACAATGATAGTAGTCTATGAGAAGAAGATTCTAAGCAGCAACGTACGAACAACACGAAACCATCCAATAATACCAGATATACTAGAATGGACACCCATCTCACGTAAACCAAGTCCTGAACGTCAGCAAATGCCTCCACATATTCAAGTAACCTAATAACACCCCCATTCCCAAAATTGAACACAAAGATTATCCCCTAATTACCCGTAGGCACAGCATGCACCCCGCTTGAAGCCAACCCAGGAGACGACGAAGACGCCGCAGCAGAAGACGACGCCGCCGCTAGCATCGAACTAGTCATAGCCGCCCAACTCATCGCTATCTCGAGAGGCCGCTGCTTATTCTTCTCCAGGGCTTCCTGTTTATCTTTCATTGCTTTATCGTAGGGTTCACAGGCTTTGACTAGGTCACTTCCCTGTTCATTTCTGTCAGCATTTGCTCTAAGACCTTTTTAAAAACAGCAACAGGAAAGAAGAGGGGAAGGGAAAAAAAAAGAAAGAGAAAAAAAAGGAAGAAAGAGAGAGAGAGAGAGAGAAACAAAAACATTCCATACCTTGTCCCCCGGCTGTCCCTTACAACACATAACATCCTTTGTACAATTTTCGTTTGGATCTGTATCGGACATTGCTTTACCTATCGTTGCGTCATATCAGCAGCTGCGCGGCACGTTATAGGAAGAAGCTAAAGGGAGGTCACATAAAGAGGAAAAAAGAAGTACATACATTCAAGCCCCATGATACTTTTCACTGTTGCCCCATCTAAGAATGGGACAACCTGGCCCAATGGCTTGGTGACGCCCTCTGCGATGGAGTCGATGCTCTGACAGCATTGCTTGGACCGGTGGCTGTCTGGACAGGTGCTGTTGTCTGTTTTTGGCGAGGCAATGAACATAGAGCTCAGCGCTGAGTGGGTGGATTGTTTAGTTGGGGTTGAGGCAGGGGTCTGCTGCTGGGAGAAAGGAATTGCCGTGGAGAGGGTTATTGTGGTCAAAAGGAGCAGTATCGTTTTGGGGTTCATTGTGATCGAGTGGGTGTTAGTCGTTGCCTTAGTTTTGTGGTTATATTAAAGGTTCAGGAGGATTGAGAGATGCTGAATTTGAGTGCTTATTTCGTAAAAAAAATTAATTTATACGTATAGGTAATAAAGTATGGTAAACACCGAGGGTAGGGGGAAGCTCAGGTGATCATAAAGCTCATCCCTATGTTCATGTGCCACAGGGCAAAATTAGTGGTCCGAGTATGGCATACATTTTGAGGCTAGGAACAAGGGATATAGTAAGCGCGACACGCTGACAACCGCGTGTCTTGTTGCCTATAAGCAACTTGAACAGTCCAGGTCTGCATGGAATGTAGTGGTGGATCCAATTAAAACTGAAAGGGAATGCGAATCTTGTCAATATAGCGGTTAGGATAGTTCTACTTGGGTGATAACCTGCGTCGTACAGCATTTCAGATGAAGATGCAATGACCTGTTCGTACTGCTTGACGCCGGCATGCTGTTGGCATTAGACATCAAGCAATTCGCGTCGCGATCAACATACCAAACGGGGTATAGTATTATGCAAGGGGTGATGATTCGTATATAACTTCCCAGGAAAGTTAAAACGTGCACAAGTATTCTAGCTTGTACTTGCATAAAGTGAATCTCAGCCAACCATTCCGATGTGCAAAAAGAAGAGATCGTAGTGGAGGGACTGCTTAAAACTGTCCTGCCGGTGCTGCGGTTGATAGGAAATGGACCAGAGTATGTTGAACGGAAAACCTGCCGTCATTAGATTCCCAAATCAAGTAGTGTACAGGAACTTTTGAAAACATAATGTACAGGACATGAAAACCGCTGAAACTGCTGGATAAAGAAGATTATGTTGATGCAAAAAGGAAAGATGGAAATATGTTGATTCCTAGCTGTCCGTAGCCTGACACGATGAACAGCCATAACCAAGAAGACAAGCAAAACTGGCAGAGTTCTAGGCCACAAAACAGTGACCAGTACTGCAAAGCGAACGACGGTGAAGTCAAGAACCAAAATAAAGACGGGTCGCCAGTGGGCATTTTGTGCCAGTGCATTAGGGCGAGCAGCACTAGACGGGAACTTGTTCATGCCGACTGTGGAATCAATTGATGCCGTTAAGCTCCAGAAGGAGCACAAATATCAAAATCGGGCCGAACGTAAAGGAAGGACAGGCACCAAATACGGCTCGAGCACGCCATAGCTCTGTATATATCGCTTGGGGCAGAAATGCTTTCGCTACAATCAAACGCCAGGAGACACCGAAGTGTCTCCCCAAATCGCCAAAATCTTGTATATCATATCGTCAACTCGTCAGCAAGGCACGCAGTGCCTTTTTGTCAAGGTAACGAGACACCAGTGTCACGTTTAACCGCCCCCTCCTGCACCTTAGGGAGTAGTCCATTTAGAAAGATGAATTTTTCTCGCCATCTCTGGTAGCTTTGCGTCCGCCTCTCTCGCCGAAGTCATGGTGGGAGACACCTGCAGAAGTGGGTGCAGGGCCTCGACGAAGCATGTCGCCCGCCGAGTCGCCGCTCTCGCCGCTACCTGCGCTGCTTCTGCTGCTGCGACTGACGGGGGAACCTTTGTCGGCGTCCAAATCGGCGAAGGACGCCATCCGGTTGTGTGTGTATTCCAGCATAACGCGGCTATAATCCTCAACAGACGTATGAGGGTTGACCGTGCGGTTCATCTGAAGATGACTGTCGCCAGGAGGGCTTGTCCCTCCCCCATGGGGAACCATAGGCTGCACTGTTTCGGGCTGCTGCATGGAAGTCGTCATGGTTGCTAGCTCAGAAGAAATAGTTAGTCCACGACATCATCACAATGTGGGATAGCAGCAGCAAGCATCCACGGAGGGAACATCGTCGTCTCAGAGACGGCACCATCGCCATCGCAGGCCCGGGTCGGAAGAGGCGTCCGTTACGGTTGACTTTCATGCGAGATAAGAGCTCAAACGGCAGTCTCCCACTTACCTTCACCACGAGGATGATAGTAAAAGACGGTAGCCTGGAAGTCGGATGGAGAAAAGTGCGTGTGTGAATAGTGTCGATGCAAAGGTGCCACAAAGAAGGGTTGAAGATCCGATATAGAAGACCAACCCTTTGGAACCGTTCAACCGGCGCAAATTAATAGGATGAGTATGAACAGCAAGTGCGATATGAGATCACAAGCGAACAAGCAGAAGATCGGAGTCGAAGCCACATTGGTCAGTCAGGCGTATGTCACTGATCCACAACGGCGACATGGGCACTTCTCCAATTTACTTCCACTTGCGCCATGATGTCATTGGTCCGAGGAGCTCTTCGAAAGACCTTCTTCCCCTTTTAGTACTCTGAGAGTCTTGTACTGTGTAAAACCTCTCTCCCCCCCCCCCCCGCTTTCACGACCCTTTGGTGATTCGATTAATTTTTATTTCACCTGACAAATAAATTCAGAAATCGATCGGAATTAACCGTACTCCACAAACTCATGGGTCGGTGCAGCTCCAGATGGTCAAACCCGTCCACCGTCCTCCTTAAAAGCAAAATGAAGTCACTGAACAATATCACTGGGTCAGGAAAGCCCAATGGCCTCTGTCAATCCAACTCAGTACTACTAAAAAGTCCCCTGCAGATCTGTGTTGACAGTGACGGGCAACCCGGTCGGTCTCCGTGGGAGTCTCATGCCTGCCCCAGAACAGTAGCGTAAGGAGGTAGGTAGGTGTGTACCTATGTGCGCCGTATGAAAAAGGACCGCGCAAAACGACAAGAAACAGCTCTCCTGGCAACGAAGCATCATGACGGGGGCAGGATGGCCCTGCACTGCGAACATGCCATTGACAGGGTCTAGAATTAGCTACTCTGGCATGTGTGATATCAGCCGTTTGCAAATTCGAGGTCTCTCCCCTGCCCATCAAAGTAAATCATCGGCATCGGGTACGGAAGGACAACACTATTTGCTCAGAACTGAGAGGTGGAGAAGTAAAAAATGGAAACAGCTACCACTACACAGTAAAGTTCCGGCACCGGTTCCCAGAACTGTGGGTATACGGAACTGGCAGTAGTGGTCACCGAGATGGTATGTGAAACGATTTAATTTCTCTCAAGAAGCCTGAGCTTATGATGCATGTCTCTGGAAACTAGAAGATAAGGGCCAGTAGGAGGGAACCAGTGGGTTCTAGCCATGAAAAAGACTCCACCAGAGAAGAATGTTTTCGTGTGATAACCCAGAAGCAGGAAGTGGTTACGGGAGGACAAAGTGTGCCTGAGGTTTGGCCCGTGACGTCAGGGGCGTTGATAGTTTTTGAAAATTAGAAAAACAATACCTGGTTGGTCTCGAATACTTACGGAGTAGGTATACTGCGGGCTACAACATCCAATCGTCCAGACACTTCCGTATGCACGATGGGTATGCAACTGGACAAAAGGTCTATTCTGATTGGGATAAGCAATGAGAGCTCCATCATGATCCACAACCCCCTTCACTCAGGAGACAAATCTTCCCAGACCCATCGCCAAGTCGTATGGAAACCTATTCCGATGATCTGGGATACTCCACCGCGTCCCTTCGAGGTCGTATACGGGGTGTATCTGGCAGAAAGACGCCTAGGTGATTCGGCTAACACATTTTCGAAAAGACTCAATGCATAGTGCAGGGCTTGTGAACTCTTAAGCAGACCTCAGTCTCTCATAACATCGTCTATCATCCCGAATGCATCAGACACTAGCCCTCCCCCTGCACACCAACCAATAGTGACGGACTAAACTCCCCGATCAGCGTCCATATTGCCACCCGGTGGATCAATCTGTGAACAAAAGTGCGAGGCATCAGAGGACATACGCTTCCTAGGCGTCGAACAACTGTCATTATGCGACCTGCATTCTAACGTCATATGGAGGCTGGTGATGAATCTTCTTTTTCATTTACGACGCTATTCGCACACCCTTATGATTATGCTTAGCCTGTAGTTAACCTAGGGAATATTACTAAACTGCCTGTGGATGATTGTACGCAGGCTAGGGCTCCATTCGCTTATGTGACCCTCTCCTACCTCCCTCGGTGCGCTACTATTTTCTAAGTGTTGGCTCTCGTATGCCAAGGAGGAAGGGATTGACCTTCATGCTCACTGAGGGAATATCATGAAAATCACTATGTATTGATCTCAGAATGGAAATAGATATCATATATTAACTGTGACGTCGGTACGATATTTTGCCGGAGTGTTTACTCTGCTTGTTGTCATACCTACGTCCTTGTTTTCCTCTGACCTGCAGAGCATAGAAATGTAATCAACTCAAAAAGCAGCCTTTACGTAACTACTGTAAGGCGCTTTTTGTGTCTGGATATGCAAGTTATATCTATCTTAGAGGATGACGTACAAACCTCCATGAGGACACATGAAAAGCTGGTCGTCGGAATCAGACCTTAAGCGGAATAGCATTGACCACTCCCTTAAGTAGCGTGTACCTTGAAGTCAAAGGCTAGTCTGTCAAGAGCAGCCAAGACTCTCACCGTGTTGTGAGGAGTAGCCGGGTACAAGGCTGGGGCTATCTCCACTGCGATTACAGGCGTCTAATAAGCCAATCGGTTCATCAATCGACATAAACTAATTACCATCAAGCCATGCTACATTAATGCTTGGATCCAGCGCTTTCAACAAAAATGAAACAAGTTATACAGATATGCAAAGATTCTAGACCCTATAATCAGATGTAGATACAATAGGAGACGCCTCAATCAAAGAACATAGACACATTTCATGCTCATCACACGTAACCTGTTTGCCCGTTAGCATCGAATATCCAACCTGAATTGAGGGAACATGGGTGTGGGGCCGGGGATGAAAGCCACTGAGCAGCACCCTAATACGTACCCTTCCTAGCACCCTGGAAGAAGAACCGGACAACAAAGACCTGCAATCCAGCCATCGATACCATCATCAAGCCCTCAATGACGCTAAAGTTGAAGATCCGACGTTCAGTGCTACGAACAGTGCTAAAGTTACGGTTCTCTCGGGTCCGGAAGTATTTCTGGTTTCGAGAAATGGTCGAAAGCTGGGCGGAAAGCTTGTAGACGGACTCCTCGAGCGCGGAGGCCTGCTCGGGGCTGGCACCCTGTCGGGAAGGGAGTTGCGCACGTTCTTCGTTTTCGACCTGGTTGAAGAACCAGTCAATATTGTTCCAATGACGTAGAAAAAAAGACAATGATGCAATCTAGGACCCCAGCATACCGCAATCTCAAAATCCACCAGCTTCTCGGCGAAAGTCGACATCTCATTATTGAAGCAGAATCTGTATTCCCCGATGCTCTGTGCCGTGAAAACGAAGTCACCCTGTCGTTCTTTGGTTCCATCTAAGACCACCTTCTCACCGGGGCCGACCACCTGATAATCCACATCGAAAGAACCGCCAGATTGGACCTAAAGAGACATGGAACATTAACATCCATGCTGCCTACCTCGTACTTAAGACCAGCATGGT